GTAAAACAGCAAAATGCAGCCAGAGATATGCCTGTCTGGAATAGATGTGCAAGAGACTTGTATGTAAAAATAAAATGTGTGTGTGTGTTTACCACATGCCCAAGCAATGCCAGAAAAGTCATTGTTCACTGTTTTTGTCTTCACTTTTTAACATGAACATCAAAGACCTTTGGAAGTCATTATACGCTTTGTGCCATCAGAAAAGCCTGGTCCCTTTTGTCTCTCAAGATCCAGCAAATTAGGAGCAACAAAAGAAAATACTCACTGAGATCAGATTTGGGAAGAACCTAAACTGATACCACAATCTAACCAAGAATAAAATCAGAGGCAGGGATGGGTGAGTCTACTCTAAGCAAAGATAAGCAAAAATCCAAGATCATAGGAAGCAGCAGCTAATGAAGTCAGGCAAGGCAATAAATCCAGATGAACTGGTGAAGGGGACAAAAGTGCTTTATCCCATATAGAACCTTTTTCAATAGCCTACGCCCTGTCCCTGTGGATCTACTTCTACTGGTCTCAGAGGGTACAAAAATTAGATGTACTCAGAACCTAATGTCTGACAGGAAAAGAAAAAAGACATTTAGGACACAGAAATTGGGCATAACATGAAACATTTAAGAATAATTAGACTTCTGAAATCACTTTCAAAATCTTAAGTTTTTGCTATGGTATACGATAATATATTAAATGGATTTGATTTCTATCTTTTGAAAAGTTATAATCAACATTTTAAGTCCAACTGCATATTGAAAAGATTATACACTGTGACTCAGTGGGATTTATTTCAGGAATGAATGGTGGTTAAAGATAAGAAAATCAATCAATGTAATTCACCACACTAAAAGAGTGAAGGAAAAAAGCCTTAGGGGTATTAAGGGGGAAAAAAATCTCATGTACGATAACATCCAAAAGAATACAATACCTAAAAATAAATTCAACTAAGGAGATGAAAGACTTGTACACTGAGAGCTACAAAATATTGCTGAAAGAAACTAAAGAAAATCTAAAACAAGGGAAGCCATCTCATGTTTATCAGTTGGAAGATTTAGTATTATTAAGATGGCAATAGTACCAAAGAGATCTACAAATTCTGTCCC